GGTGAGTAAGGATTTTCACTTCTCCACCTTGTTGCCAACTTGCCAGGAGTTCCCTCATAGAGACTTCGTGCTCCGGGAGGTGAAGAGGAAGTGGGAAAAAGTTACCCTCGTGGTGAGGTGCATTGGGAGCACGAGCTCGCCATGAAACGCAAGAGAGGTCACGGGGAAGCCCCGAAGAAAGGTGCATGAGAAGTTGACAAACATCATGCTGGCTGTTTGGGGATTCCCATCGACCCTGGCCTGCAACTAATCTTTTCCAAACCAGGGACTGCCACAGCTCGACTTTGCGTTGATCCTTCAACCATCGCAGAATGCCCTGGATGGGGGATCCAGCAAAGGGGCTGGAGGCATCAAGGAGCAGGTCAATCCAAAAGAAACCAACCACCAAAGAATTGGTGTAACAATGGTTGGATGGATTTTGGAACTTCACCTTGCGAACAATGGAGCCAGCAGCCCTTAAGTCTCCAAGCTCTGGGCTACCAGGATCCCGGTGATCGCGGACAGCAGGAGAGGGAGGCTCAATCCTGACCATGTTCTGCAAGGGAGGGTCATCGGAAGTGAGAGCTTGCAGGGGAGTGGCCTCAACCCTGTTAAGTGGTGTTGCAAAGAAGTTGCTAAGGTTTTGGGCTTTTGGGAGAGTCTCCTTAGAAAGCTTGCTAGCCTTCTTGGAGGCAGGTAGTGACTCCGGAACCCCTACACCACTTAACAAACTCTTGGTGAACTTAGTCAGTTTGTTAGTGTGTTTACGGGTCACACACAGGGACTGGAGGAGCCCCGGGACTTTCTTTGCCCGCGCTGGCAAAATGCCTTCACACACTTTACACTGCCAAGCTTTGCCTATGGAAACAAGCTGATGGGAGGAGTGACAGGCCAGGTGCTCCGGGGGACGACCTTCCCTTCCCAAGCACGGCTGTGCAAGGACCTGCTGGAACAGTGAAGGAGGGTCCACTTGCTGCAGGTAAAGGCCACATTTCCCACACATGGCTGTGAGGTTCGTAGGGTGCTGACTCCGAATTTCCCACTGGTGTCCCTGCGGAGAGACGGTTTGGCTGACGAGTTGCTCAATCTGCTGCCTTTTGTTAAAGGTTGGAGGTTTTGGCTGGCGCTTGCAGAAAATAGTCTTCTTGTCCTGCGTAGTAATCAAAATCTCCGCCCTCTGACTAAGTAGCTGGGAAAGGGTGGAAACCAGCGTGTCAACTTGCCTGACTTGCTTTTTGGCATCAGGGTGCAAAGCTTGGTCAGCCCTGGACCCGGCAAGTTGGTCAGCTGCGTGATTCAAATGCCAACGCCAAACCTCATCTTTTCCAAACTTTTCAGCAAATTTTCCTACATCCAAGTGAGCCTTGACCCAATGAAGGTGTTGTGGGGATATGTTCTGCCATTGGGGTTTCCAAAACATGGAATGCTTGGATGTAACCGCCCTAGCTGCGGCCTGCTTGCAAGCTACCCGAGAATCTGTAGTAAGATCCTTCAGGCCCGGGCAAAGCTCATGGGCCTTGACAATGGCATGGACCTCCCCATCTAGAACCGTGGCCGGCCGAGGCAAAACCCCGCTCGCAGTTGCGATAACTGTGATGCTTTGGCCCGTTTTACGTGCTAGAATCACAGCCCATCCAATGGTCCTCAATCTGGGATCGGAAGAAAATTTTCCACCACTGGCATCGGTGCCTATGACAAGATCCGAGTCCCAGGGCTGTGACGGCCAGGTGCCCGCATACCGATCCTCAGCGTTCTGAAGTGGCGAGGAGACATAGGCAAGAGGGGGAAGGGCTCGCAACCAAAGGCAGGGCGCAGGATGGGACTGACGCATTTGTTCAAGATGCCTGGGAAGCTTTGGCTGTCTGGCCCATCTGGGGCAGTCCCACAGCACATGTTGTAGTGTGTTTTCTGACTCAAGGCCCCGATCCTTACAGTAAGGGCACTTGGGGTGGCCACCACTTCCCGCATGCACAACTGCACCTTGCCAGATTGACCTGTAGAAGGTCAGACGTTTGGTCTTCTTTAAAGCAATGCGGCGATGAATTGTAAAATCTACACCATCCTGAGCTCCTTGACCGCCATGTTGGCCAGAGATGGCTCGCAACCTTTCGCTCTTGATGGTAGACCGAATCTTGCGCCGCAGCTCCTGAAAAAGAAAGGGGCTGAAGTCAACGGGCCAGGGGTGGCCATCAATATGCCAGACTTCCGGGGACTGGACATCCCATCCCATATCCCTGGCATACTGAATCATGGCCGAAATGGGTCCGGCAACGATTTTCCAAGGGTGAGGCGAAGCCTCCAACCTGGATTTGACCAAGGGCCAGGACCTTTGAACTTCCTCCCAAATGGAAGGAGAACGGCCAAGAATACGAAGAAAAACTTGCAAATGCTCACAAATGATCTGCTCTCGGGGATCCGGAAATCTGTGGGAGAACATCTCCAAGACGGTCAGGGTTCCTCCAAGATGTTGGCGTCCTAAGCTACCAGCCAGCACAGCGCGGTGCCATTTCAACCGTTTGGGGCTAACACCCTGTGCCTGATGGCCATAGGTGGCACATGTCATGATGGATCCGCGCACAACCCTCGTGCGTGAACAATGCGAATCAACACCTAAAGCACGAAGGCGCTTGTGGCGGCCTTGCGCCTTCTTGTGCCTGCCAAGAGAGGTGGCAAGCCTGCGGCGTCTGCCAGCATTGCTGTCAACCCCTAAGTCTTTGGCTAACAGAGTAATGCCAGGATCTTGGTCCGAACGCAGACGCGCAAGAACTTGAGAGGTGGCAGAATCTGAGCAAAGAAACTTGGTTTTCTCCAAGGAAACCTGAAGATTTCGTTCCGCAAGAGAATCTCGCAGTATACGAAATGTCTTGAGGGCTTTGTGAGCCGTGTTAGAAGCAGTGGACCCTACCACGTCAGCCGAAATGTCATCCAGCCACTGGTCTATGTTGTGAGTGAGGCCAGTAGCCTGAAGGTCCCTGATTGGGACAAACAAAGCCAGTTTCGAAACCACCGGCGCAACAGGGCAACCCTGAAGCAACCCAACTGTGGGAATTATTCCCGGCGAAACCGAATTTTCGGCTGAGACAAATCGTGTCCCACCATAAATTTGAAGGGAAAGCTCCAAAAGCAAAGGTGGGAACTGCAACAGGAGTCCGGTGTCGACTACCGAGGCCCAAACTACACAATCATAGAAGCCTTTGATATCAAGAAAGAGTCCTACAAAGTGTTTGGACTGAGTTCGGGAGGCTTCGGCCCACAGCAACCGGCGGATGCCGATGTCTAGAGATGTTCGACCTGGCACTGCGGCATCCCAAGGAGCCAGGGCCTGGTAGGAGACCGTCCACTCTTGGATCAGGGACCACCTGGCTCTGCAGTAGTCCCTCCACAAAACGTGAGTTAAAGAGATAGGTCTCTCAGCCGTAGCCGATTTGGGCAGCATACAAACTTGTGTCAGGAGAAACTGCTGCGGGACTCGGAGGCCTCTTTCGAGCTCCTGATAAAATTCAGCGATGTCCTGAAGCATTGGCCAAGTCAATTTCTTGAGAAGGGACTTGCTCCAGCCATCCGGTCCTGGGGCAGTGACCCTGCCTTTGGAGAACCTTTGTTGCAGCTGTTCCGGGGAAATGGGGCTCAGGGTAGCTACCTGCTGAGCAGCCAGTTCCCGTAGTTTCCCGCGAGCCTGTTGCTCTACGTGTGGAAGAGGAGGAAGGTCCTCAACTCTAAGTACGCCTTTCCAAGTGCGGAGCCATAGTTTGGCCCTATGAATCTAACCTCCCTCTGAGACGAGGCGGTTGATAACAGCCTTGTATGGGAGGGCGTTTCGTTTAGGAGCCTGATAACAGCCTAGTTTTCGGAGAGGGAAAGGGGATCGAGAAGGGATGCTCAGTTTGCTCTCGAGATGCCGTCGAAAACCCGACTACAATCCACTGAAGGATCGCTCTGGACTGTTTTTTTCAGACCGAAAGCCAGTCACCGACGTCTGAAAGCACTGTCGATGTCCTTCCTGAGATGCTCATGATGGCGCATGACAAGAAGCAACATTTTCAGCCCTCCAAGTATGTTGAATCCAAGGGTCTTCGTGAGCTTTTTGCAAGCTGCTCGGAGCCGTAGGCGGCCCATTCGTAACATCCAGGGTCCAAATTTATCTCGAGCGCGAGGTGCTTTCAGCCCGATTCCTCATCATGTGGCTTAGAGGCTTACTATTATGGAGAGGTTGTGAGAGTCCAAGGCCCGAACTTTTGACCCATCCCATCGAGTCTTCTTCTGCAAAGCAATGCATGTAGCGAACATTCAGTCCTCAGCCCATTAATCCCAAGCACATGAGCAAGAGACAGACAGGGGACAGGTACAGCCGAACATCATGCAGCCTTGATACGCCACTTTCTCATCTGGAGCAGCATGTGCATCATCATCTCAGCTCAGTCGAAGCAACATCTCGCAGCAAACCCCGAACTCGAGAAACAGACATGTAAGTGATATTGCTGCCCAAATGCATGGTGTTTGGGTTTCAGAACCCAAGCCAGGATGCCCATCCTGGATTGAGCTTCAGTGGGGTTGATAGAAAGGCCCAGCAAATCTCTGAAACCCCATAGCCTAAGCCCCCAAAACCCGAAAGCTTCACCCCGAACCCCCTAAACCCTAAACCTTCAAATTCGATTATAGCTCCCATCCTGTGTGACATCACCGTCAACTTCAGATGATAATCCAGGAAGGTCTTGCCAGCCCGGAAAATCTCTTCAGATTCATCCACACTCCTGAGCGAATATATATGAGATGTTCTGTAACTATAGACAGTAAGCGCATGCTGCCATGCTACGATCTGGAATGCTGCGGGGGCACAGATAGCGGCCAGATCTCTCGAGAAGGCCAAAGAACCGGGCAAAGGAGGTCCTTGATTTCAGAGGGGAATTTGAGGGAAGTGAAGTTTGGGGTTTTAGGTTAGCCTTCGTAGGTTTAAAATTTGTAGGGTTCAGGGTAATAGGCATTAAGTTTAGGGTGCTTGCGTCTCGCCTCGGTTCGAGGGCCTATGAGCTAATTAGCAGGTATTGCATTCCAAGCTTCAAAGCTACAGCCAAGTGGGGCAAGCGAGGGTCTGTGATTTTTTTGTCTGAGAGCACTTTTGTGGTGACATCAGCAAGCCACTCCAAGATGACCCGTCCATTGTAAGCTTTGGCAGTCATATAATGCCCATGCACCTTCTTGATCACCAAGCCCACGCTGAAGCGCTTCTGTGAGCAGGGGATACGGTGTTGCAATTTCCAGGCTTTGAAATCCGCAAATGCAGCGTCCAGAAGCTGTTGCAAGTCCAGTGCATCGGGATCGCCGAAGTAGCCCAGAGATACCAGGGTCATCCTAGAGGCAATTCATGCAGAAGAGCTTCTTATTCCGAGCACGAATACGAATAAGAAAAAACATATATCGAATCCAAGCTTCCTTGCTAGCGGTTTGAAGCTTTATATACTGAAAGGTTTAGGGGTTCAGGGACCTAATTCTATAATAGGTTTAGCCGGAATATTTGGTCAAGCGGCAGACATCCTCCATTGGCCGTGTAAACCAGGCCCAGGTTGCAGCAATGCATAGAGCATATTTTGACCATCGAAATATCGAAGCCCCGAAGGCGGAGCAAAGGACCTTGGATTCCGGAGGATTCAGAATTTCTATGATCGTGCTACTGTCAAGCTGTGGGGTTTCAGGGTCTTAGGGTTCAGGGTTTAGGGTGTAGGGTACTATGGTAGGGATTACCGGGCGGTGGTAAACGCCCGATGCAAAAAGGGTACTACCATAACCTCAAATTGAATAACCCGAACCTCAACTCCAAGAAAGTCTGAGGCACTGAGTACCCCAGGCCTCACCTTCCTTGCAATGAAGCCCACAGTGTTCACTTCAGTTGCAGCCCAGCCCGGCTCCTGCTGTATGTCGCCGGTATCGTAGTACTTCATTGCAGAGTCGTCCGAGCAAGCGTCGCACATGTAGCAGGGCTGCTTGCTCACAGGGGTTGGCAATAGGCGTAGCACCTTTTCCAGCCATTTCCAATCCCCTTTGACCTGGCTGCAGACCCAGCGGCGGCCATTGGCGAGTGGAGTACCCGCTTTTTGCAGCTTGGATGGTGTCAGAGAGCCGCCATCAAACCTTGTATGCGGGTACCGCCCCTCGAAAGCCACATTGCACGACCACACGATGTGTTGCAATATCGGGAAGAGAGATCGCAAGCATTCATCATCGACAAGCAAGTCGTGTTGTACAGCGGCAATGAGAAACTGCCCTTGCCTCACCGAGGTCGGTCGAAAAAGATGGATGCTCATAAAAAAAGCAACCACCTTATCATGAGGGTCAGCACTCAAGCAGCACTCATCGCCATACAAACTGAATGGTATTTCAGTTTTGTCGCCAGGAAACCCACGAATCCAAGGCATATCCACGGCTTCCATATGTGCATAGTAGTTTTGCACCATTTCAGCCGGAACTTCCACCTTGACTTCATTGTGAAGGTATGCCAGCACTTCGTGAACGTCCAACACCGGCAGCTGCATAGGCACGATATTTTCGTTGCCCTCTGTATCCATAGATCGAACTGGCACTTCGATCGTTGTAGGCTCCTTAGGCTTTTATTTGTATTATCATCTCAAGAACACCATCGTTTCTTGATCCGAGGGTGTAATTAATTATTTAGGACAGAAACCCCAATAGTTGCACTCCGAGTGTCCAGAGGAAGTGCTACCTTCTTGAAGAAGTTTCGAGCGTAGTTTCCAGGCTTGAAATCCATCAGGGCATTCGCGGTTTTGCCCCTGAACTTCCCACCAGCCTCCTGGAGGTATGCCCGGTAGCAAGCTTAAGTTGAACTTCACTTCCAAGTGTTTTGCTGGCTTGCGTGCACGAGTCCTTGAAAGCTGCTCTTGCATTATCCATAGCAGCAGTGACTGAGCTAGCCTAGGATGGCAGAAGCTGCACTCCCTCAGTCAATCAATGCAATCCAGGAAAACCCAAGCCCTATATATTGCCAAGCTGCACCATCGGAAACTTTTTCCATCATATTTTGCAGCAGGCCATCTGCCGCATCGTCGCTGGATCCTGGCATGCAACTTGGCGGCGACTCTAATCTAAGAAAGTGCGGGACATGCTTGGGTTCAGTGGCACTGCGAATCAGGATTCGAAAGGGTCTAGGTTTTCCGGGCGGATGCGTGCGATCCAGCTCTGCCTTCATTCCCTATGGCAAATTTCCATGTGTGATGAGTATCACACTGACTGGCATCCTCGTTTCATGAGGCGGCCCCAAAACATGAGCTTTGAGGTTCAAGATTGCGGACCTGGCTCCAAGCATGCCCCATGACCTAGATCTAGGATCCTAGGATCTAGCATGCCGTGTTCGTTAGAAGCTGTCGAAGCCAGATCCTCTGTCCCGGAGCAACAGCACCGAAACCCTTTAGCTACTTCTGGCCCTTCGGGCTCTTCTTTACACCCACTTTCTTAGACAAGTCCTTGCTCACAGTATCACACTTTTCGCAAGCAGCAAGAACATCATTCGTGAGGCTCGGAATGTTCTCGGTGTCCTGAGGAACAAAATCTCATGATATATAGGCTTGCCACTCCAAGTCTCCATTTGACTTAGGCCTCGTGGTCCATGCTGTGCTGCAATCCGTTGCGAAGCTCCTGGAGCTTCGAGACCTGCGGCAGGGGCTTGGGCTTAATTATTGGGGGTGAATTGAGGATTTGCGGGTTTTGCAGGCCGGGCGGTTGCGCTTACGGTGTGTGGGATGCTATGATACGTATTCTTGTGCTCCCAGGATCGAGTAGCAGTCAATTTGGCCAGTAGCAGCAGTGCCAGCAGGAGGTCACAGCAGCCGATAGTATAGCAGCAGCAGCAGTATGGCAGTAGCACTACAGCAGAATATACAAGAGTGCTACTCGTATAAGGGCGTCCCAGTACTAGTCGCGACGAGACTAGTAGGTGCATATATATGGACTCATGCAAGCATCCTCGTAGTCCTAGGTAGTCCTAGTCGTCGTAGTATATACTCTGTACGTAGAATTCGCATGAACAACTATAATTATAATACCCTAGACCATCCCAGAAATTCCAATGATAATTTATCCGCCGCCAAATATCTACCACCTTCAAGTACGTTAATTATAATCGGAGGAAACGAATCATAGTTTATCCCGACAGTAATTCCTTGTATCACTCCAATTGGGATCAGGAATCAAGAGCTGACACTGTAGTGTTCCGGGGACCAGGGTTAGAGATCTCGGGCTCGGGTTCAAATATGTTGGAGGTTTCGAGTTTGGTCTTCAGGGCCCCGGGTGACATATAAGTGGGTCAATGCTGCTAAGTTGCGAAATCCCCTGCAAACGTATGTTGCAAATTTAATATTACAATACATCGGCCTCATCCTTGAGATCTTTCTTCATGGCGGCCAGCAAGTGATCGCCCCTGGGCATGCCACAGAGATGAGATCACTCGAAACCTATGTTCGAAATTCCAAATTCAAGATATTGCGGGATATAGCGAGGCCCACACACTTTGTCGGAGCTCTCCTTCATAAGATCATTGGCAGCCTTGATCTTTCCAGTGGCCTTGTCCCGGGCCTGATGAACACAAGCTCAGTCCAGACTAGTGCTGGCATACAGGATTCCAGGCTTTGGGGTTGAGGGGTCAGGGCAATAAGTTTAAGGACTCGGATCCAGTGTAGGATGATGGGCTTTCGGGCTTGAATTTGGGTTTGGGAATTGGGATCTGGAAGTGGGGTGCTGAGGGATCAGCATTAGGAGGTTTCAAGTTAAGGAGTTTGGGTTTCGGTAGCAGCATCTTTTCGACTCCAGCGAATACTAGAAGTACCGGGTCTCAGAGCTCAGGATCTAATGCCGAAAGCCCGGTCAACCAATCATCCGGAAGCCCCAGCCCATAACACAGACGTACATCATGATGGTCCGGGCATGTCCCAAACAAATCCTCTTAAAATTAAGCCCTAAAGCCCTAAACCCATGAGCTCTAGGCGGTAAAGCTTGAAGCCGTAAAGCCCCTAGAGCCCTAAACCCTTAATCCATACATATATATATATATGTATATATATATATATATACAAGGACCCCTTATCCTGGACCGTCGAAAGAAAGAATATAATATATATATATATATATATATATATATATATATATATATATAATATAGATATATATATATATATATATTATTTATATTCTTTCTTTCGACGGTCCAGATATATATATATATATATGTATGTATATATAATCCCAGGCACTTGCCTTCTTCGCATCCTTCATCATCGTTTCGGCGTCGGGTGCGGAGGCGTCCTGGAGGGATTTGTGGGATGTTTCGAACTCGCAGGAGTGCTAGAAGGGGTGATGACACGATGTCCTTCTTCTGGGCTTTCTTTTTTGGTTGAGCTTTCGATTTCGGCTTAGCTTTGGAGGCCTTCTTGTTCTTAGCTTTCTTGTTTTTCTTCTTCTTCTTCTTGTTCTTCTTTTCGGCCTTCTGGCCCTGTGCCTCATCAGAAGCCTCCGTCGACTCATCAGACGAGTCGCTGCTTCCCTCTTCGGCCTGGAACAGCTTTTCGATTTCTTCGAGATCTTCATTTTCCTCAACATCTTCGCATAAGCAAAGAAATTGTTGCATGTCCTGCAGAGCATTGCTTGACGGCTGGGGCGTTTCATGGGGGAATGGGACATGCATTGCAACTATTAATTCAGTAGTATATGGTGTTCTGGCCTTCCTGTGCTTGCACTCCGGGTGGTCGCGAACTTCTTTCTTCTTAAGTTGTGGATCATCCAGCTTTGCATCGCGGATGTCTGTCGCGACACTTTCGCCGAAGCGCTCGCACATCTCTGCATACGTCATCCACTTTCGAGTTCCACGGTTTTTGGTGGAGTTCTTCTGCTTCAGGGAGATTAGCAACTTGGAGGATTTCCAGTTCTCGCTGCTTGTCAGCCAAGCCTCAAACAGGTAAGACCTTTCCGGGCTGTGTGGTTCTGCTTTCTCCGCCAGCTTCAAGATTTCTGGTGGCGTGTT